GGACAGCTGGGGTGTGGGGTGCTGGAAAGGTCCCTCAAACAGCAGCTCCCTTATGCTGGCAGTGACTTTTTCCCTTCCAGGTGCAGGAGGGAGGAGCGGGGTCCCCGTGTCCCCAGTGCTCTGCCAGAAGAGGGGAAGCCGAGAGAAAGCTGTGATCAATCCTTCCCAGGGCCACAGTGGAGCCCAGGACACAGCTGTGAGCGGTCAAACTGTGACAGAGCGACACTGTCCTGCTGCCTGCCTGGCTCCATCCCCATCCCACTGCAAGCACCACCGCTGTCCCCTTTGTCCCCTGCCAATGCCGGCGGGTGGAGGCTGCACGCTCGATCGCTGCACTGGCATCCCAAGCGTGGGGCTGAGCTGTGGGCCCCGCTTTTTCCAGTGGAACAGTGGCGATGGGGGCTGCTCTCTCCACTGGTGCGGTCGTGGCAATTTCTTTTAACTGTGTCATCGCATTGCTCATCCTCATCCTCTTCCTCATCCTCTGCAAGGCCTGCAGGACCCCCTCGTGCCCCAAGAAGAGCCCAGCGTCTGATGTGGATGAGGCAAGGAATGAAGAGAAGTACCTGCTGCAGCCCTGAGCTGCCCTGAGCTGCCTGGGGACCTAGCGGTGCCGAAAGGGTTGTGCCAGCCTGGATGCCTGCACTGGGACTGGGGTGCTGGACCAGGCGCAATGAGAGCTGAAGGGATGCTGAGCTGCTTGCAGGGGCCGTGATGTGGGGCACAGCCCTTCACCTGTGTGGTTTTGGTGTGTGAAGTCCCTGTGGATGCCCACAGTGATTGTGGAGATGCAGAGGCAGCGGCTGGGGATGTACTATGGGGACAATCCTGCCTGTCCCAGTGGCCAGCAAGCGCAGCAGGAGCCCTGCCCTCGAGCACACCCTGTGGTCGGGGATAGCCTGTGGGCTCCTCCCTGGCACTTGTGGCCTGGGCCAGTGGCCACCTCGTCACAGACCTGAGCAGGGCTGGTCAGGGGGCTCAGAGAGGGGAGGCAGCAGGGCTGGCATGGGCACCTGTCCCCAAGCAGGCTGGTTGCTGCATGGTGGGATGTGCCCTGGGGGGGACCTCAGCAGCCCTGGCCCCACTGGCAGAGCAGGGTGTTATCAGTTCGGGTGTCTTTGGGGATAGCCCTGGGGTGCCATGTGCCCCCAACCTCAGGAGGGCATTTGATACCCGACTGCCCCAGCAGCCAGTCTAATGAGCCACAAGGGGGTCTTCATGGCCTGTCCATTTGTCCCAAGTCTGTCTGTCAGTCTCCTCCAGCATTAGGACCAATGCTGCTAGGCAAACAGCCCTCTTCCTCGATGGGCACATGTCCCTGCCTGCCTTCCTGCCTGCTTCCAGCTGAGGCCAGCCAGGGGGGTTTGACCTGCCCATGGGCAGTAGATGTGCCCTCGCTGGTGTCACCATCCCCGCTGAGAGCAGCTTGGGATGGCCTCTTGCTGGAGAGGTGGAAGACATGGGGAGATGAAGGTGCCTGGACAAGCAGCTTTGAAGGGTCTTCCAGCCCCTTGCTCCCTGGGGACCACTGTGGCTCTGTGGGGAGGGATGCTGGTGGCCTGGTGTGTCCCCAGGACTGGCAGGTGCATTTCCCCAGTTGCCTGCAGGGGCTGTGGGTTTTAGAGGGCTCTGCCCTGCCCATCCTAGAGCTGAGCAATAGCCAAGGTCCTCGATGGCACAGCTGCTGCAATAAGGGGACAGAGGAGTAGGCTGTGCTGGGAGGGATGCCAGCCGGGGTCACTGCACAGGCTTGGCCAGGCCTGGCAGAGCCTGCGATTCCTACCCATTCCAGGTGTTACTAATGCATCCCTTTGTAGCTTTGTTTTTACTAGACTAATAAACCGATTGTAGGACCCAGGCAGTGTCTCTGAGCTCTGCCCAGCGCCTGAAAAATCTGTGGGAGGCAGCATGTCCTGCCCCTCCTGCAGGCCTAAGGAACAGCTGCCCCAGGGCTGGTGGCTGGTGGCTGGTGTCCCTGCAGGACTGCGGGAAGTTTGCTGGGTGATGGTGACGAGGAAGGGCTCATGTCTGCATCTGCCTGTGGCTTTTAAATGCTGTGTGAGAAGCCTGGCTGGGTATTTCAAGCCTGCAGCATGTTGCCTGGGCTGGGGGTACGTGGCTGTCAGTAGGGAGCACCCCACAGCCCCCTTGCTAGAGGCACCAGAGATTTTCCAAGCCGTGTCCTTAAGTCACGAGGATGCTTGTGGGGGATGCAGGCTAGCTGAGCAGATGGAGGAGACCTGCCACCACCCCTGCCTGCTGGAACGAGTGCCTCTGGTCCCCAGTCCTGGCAGCTGTGTGCCAGGCTCTAGTGGTGACAGCCTGGCTCTGCTCATCAGCATGCGTTGAGGCCACCGCAGCTCCTGCTGCCACTGCAGCCATGTAGCAGCTAATCCCTCTGCCGCAAAGCAACAGAGCAGCGGGAAGGCTCTGCAAACCCCAGCACCCAGCTGTTCCCGCAGCCCTCGGCTGCACAGAGCTCCTTGCCAAGCACACCTGGGGAGAGGGGAGCTGTGAGTATCCTGAAGCTGGTGGCCAGCACCTGCTATGATACCCTGTTTGCAGTGATGGCACATCCCTCTCCCACAGCTGTGGGGGGCCAGGCCAGGTACCCAGTGACCCTCTGGCTTAGGATGCCACCCCAAAATCCAGGGGGCTGTGCATGGCTGACCCCACAAATGGCTGTGGGACTGCCGCTCAGTGCTCAGGCCACCACTCAGAGTGGGACTGGCTGGGCTTGGGGATAGTGCCAGCATGGCTGGGGTGGCAGCAGACCAGGCCATCAGGCTGCAGCCCTGAGGTTTCCCTAAGGCTGGCAGGACTGGCTGTCACCTGTCCTCCCAGGGGCCCTCACCCAGTGCAAGCCCAGCCAAGGGTAAGGAAGAGCTGAGGCTGTGTGGCTCTGGGGGACTGAGCGCGGTGAGGTTTGCCTGACCCCAGAGATGCCTGCATGCTGTGGCTCTTCCGGCACCTCTGTTTATTTGTCTGGGCACAGAGGAGAAGTGTTCCCGCTATGCAAAGAGAGGGCGGCATGAGGCCCATGGCTTGCATGCCAAGCAGCCGCCTATCAAAGCCTGGCTTGTTCGGCTGGTGGCTCCCGGCAGAGCCGTCATTCCTCCAGCTCATTTCTCTGCCTTGCTCTCCGGCTCTCTCACCAGGTTGAGCAGCTTGTCCAGTTTTGCAATTTCCACCTCTGGGCCCTTCTTAACCTCTTGGCCTTTCTTCTCCTGCAAAGACAGCAAGAGTTGCAGAGCTGTGACCAGGGAGGACTGTGGGGATGGGAAGGGGTCTGGCACAAGGAGGAATGGTGGGGGTCCCAGTTTGCAGCCCTCATCAGGAGCTGATCTGCAGGGGACTGTACCTGCTTGTCCCTGTATTTCAAGCCCAAGGTGCCATGAGATATGTAAAAGCCCCCATGGGCTGGGAAAGGGCGGTTAGGAAGGGTTTGGGTGGGGATGGGAGGGGATCTGTTGATCCACAACAGCACAAACCCTATTCTGCCTCTCTCCTCCTAGCCCCTCTCAGTGTTGTGGGACTGTAGTACCCTCTAAGCCCCCAAGCTTTTTCCCCCAGATCCCGGGGAGGTCCCAGGTGTGCACGACTCCCAAGGCAGTCACAGAGATGCAGATGTCCAAACCTCCCCAGAACAATCCCACCATACCCATTCCATGCTGGCGCTCTTTGGGAGCTCCCCACAGAAGTGAGGATCAGCCCTTTTGCAACCAAATGGCTTTTTCCAGGAGTGCAGTCCCCAGGGGAGAAGTGAGTCAGAGCTCCCAGGTGCGCTGTTAGCTCCTCACTGTGGCTGCTACCCCTGGGCACACCCCAAGCCTCCCACAGGACAGCCCCGTGCTTCGCTGCATGCTGCTGTGCCAACCCCAACATGTGCCCCAGAACAGGCAGCAAGGGTAAGCCCTTCCCACAGCCTCCCAGCACCCATCTCAACCCTCAGCACCATCAGGAGCTTGATCCCCAGGTGCTAGAGCAAACCACCAGCTTCTTGAAAGAAATCATGTAGCACAAGGGAAGTAAGCTTGTCCGGTTCAGTCCTTGCTTGCTTGGGAACAGCAGGAGCTTCCAGGGCAGGTGAGGGATGATGTCCCTGCTAAGGGCACCAGTGCCACCCAATGCTCTGGGTAGAGCCCGTCCCCCCCCTTACTGTGGGGTTGCAGTGTGTTGCTCTCATTGGAGCTTCGGGGCTTAGGGAAAGTGGTAACCATTTTGGGCTCCTCAGATACGTATCATGCCACACACAGCTGCTGCAGAGGATTCTTCCAACCTGTCTTCAGCCCACCAAGCCCTCCTGTAGATAATCATTTACCCCACAAGGTTCCTCCAAAACAGCATCCACCCAGTCACTGCATCCCACCACTCAGTGCTGCCTTCCTCTCACAACCTTCCCCTTTGACAGCCTGCCAGCTCTCACCTTGTCTCTGGATTTGGGAGGGGGTCCCTGCTCTGGGGCTGGGAAGCTCCTCAGTGCCTGTCATGGCTCTGGGCACCCCAGAAAGCAGATGCCAAACACATACGAACAGAAGTGCTGGTAGCCAGTCAGACAGGGAGGCTCTGGACAGGTGGTGGCAGGTCCCCAACACAGTGGCACAGCAAGGGGGGACATCACAAACTGGGCTTGAAGGCAGCCCACGGAAAACTGCTGTGCCAGCTCCTCCCAGCACCCCTGAAGCATGGCTTCTGCATGGGGATGCTCTTGGGAGGCCAAGGGAGCAGCGCACAGCCTCTGAGCAGGGAGGCTGCTTGCTTTCTTCTCTCCCCACTTAGAAAAGGTCAACTCTTCTCCCACTGAATCAGCTCCTCTGATGGCTCTGGGTGCAGCAATTACAAACATGCACCTTTCCTTCAGCACTGGAAATAAATGCTGGGGCATAGGAAAGAGAAGTTGTAGGGCTGCAGGGATCTTGCTACAGTTCTCTAGCAAATGTGGGCATTGCTGAAGGCGATGACTGCTGGGAAAGAAGTCCCCAGGGGATCCTTGGGCTGCCCCCTCATCCCAGCCCAGCACAACCCTGACAGAGCAGAGGTTTCCTTGGCTGCTGGAGGGCATGGCTGGGGTGAAAGCACTCCTGGGGAGGAACAGGGACATATGGAAGCCTGTCTTCTCCCAAGAAGACAGCCCCGCTCCTCACCCAAGCGCTGCGATGAGCCAGGGTTGTTTTTGTTTACAGAGACCATCAATTGCATGCCGGGATGGTGCTGGTTTGTATTAATGCTGCTAAGTGTGCAACGCCTTTCATGGCTCTGGTCCGGGCAGGCACTGGGAGAGATGTTTGTACTAACAGCCCACGTCACAACCGAGCAGCTCTCTGAGCGAGAGCGTTGGGATAAACACAGCTGCTTGGGGTATTTCGGGACTTAGCTATTTCTGCAGAAAAGCTGCTTTGCTGTCTCCCTTTGGCACCCTGCATCACACACAGCACCATACACAAGTCCTTGGGACAGGCTAAGGAGGCAACTGCTTTGCTCAGCATGGAAAGGGAGATGCTGAAGTCATCTCCCATTAACCTACCGCCATCCTAAGCCCTTCATTCTCCTCTCTGGTAGGGTCAGAGAGGGTCCCTCACTG